GAGGGGGGTGAAAAAGGAGAAGGGGGGGTGAGAGAGGGGGTGAGAGAGGAGAAAGGGGGGGTGAGAAAGGAGGGAGGGTGAGAAAGAGGAGAAAGGGGGGGGTGAGAAAGGAGGTGTGAAAGAGAAAGGAGGTGTGAAAGAGAAAGGAGGTGTGAAAGAGAAAGGAGGTCAGAAAGAGAAAGGAGGGGGAAGAGAAAGGAGAGGGGGGGTGAGAAAGGAGAGGGGGGGTGAGAAAGGAGAGGGGGGGCGAGAGAGAAATTAGGAGGGGGGAAGAGAAATTAGGAGGGAGGGAGAGATATTAGGAGGGGGGAAATAGAAATTAGGGGGGGAGAGAAATTGAAATTAGGAGGGGGGGGAGAAATTGAAATTAGGAGGGGGGTAGAGAAATTAGGAGGGGGGAAGAGATATTAGGAGGGGGGGTGAGAGAGAAATTGGGAGGAGGAGAAGGAAATTGGAGCGGGAGGAGAGATTGACATTCATCACATACACACAATGCACCCCTTGCACACAGAAAAACACACAATGCATTACACACACAGACACACATACACAAGCAATGCAACCGTTACACACAATGCATCCCTTACACACACAGAAACACACAATGCATTCATTACACACACTCAATGCACCCCTTACACACATTCAATGCATCCCATACATACACAGAAACACACCTTGCAGCCCTTACACATACAAACACAATTTCACACAATGCATTCCTTACACACATATCAGGACATCCCCTACACACTCCACCCCCTGTGAACAAACTCATTGGTGGAACATGAAGGTGGACCCTGGGACCCAGACCTTGAGCTGTGTAAAGGACCCCCAAAAAATGGAGCTGCTTCCCGTTCTCCCAGAACATTGATTTTTGTGACCACAGTTACAAACCGCCTCCAGAGAGCCTGTTCTGCACCAGACCAGTGGAGCCAGACTGCAGCTAGAGCCCATCATCATCATCCTCATCTGGTTGTAAGTAGGCAATCTAGTATATTATTCGTGGCACTAAGCTCTAATTTACCTCACATTAAAGAAACACTATAGTCCCCAGAACCACTTCAGCTTAATGTAGTGGTTCTGGTGTCTATAGCCTGTCCTTGCAGGCCTTTTAATGTAAACACGGCGGCACTGCAGCACTGGCGTTAGTTAACATGGAAAATCATATGGGTGGGGCATTGTGATGTCACATGGGGGGGGGGCGGCAAACTTTACTTTTGCCTAGGGCGGCAAAAATCCTTGCACCGGCCCTGGCTGGAGGGGGCTGTGTGAGCTGTGGCCGCACAGTGTCCCATGGTAGTTAGGGTGCCGTGCGGCCAGTACAGCTCACACAAGCAAACAGCTGATAAACTGGCCGCACGGAGGAAATGTGTATGTGTGACTGTCTGCCTGTGACTGTATGTGACTGTCTGCCTGTAACTGAGTGTGTGACTGTCTGCCTGTAAATGTGTGTGTGGGGCTGCAGGGATTTTGTAGAAGGGGGCGGGGGTTTTGTATTGGGACAGGAGTCTTTACAAATTGTAAGAAAAAAAAAGAGAACCTTTAGTGCCAAGCACAGGATCCGCCCCGGGTGCCAAATGCTCTAGGTACGCCCCTGGATATTAGGTGAACACCTGACTGCCTCTGTCAGAAAGATGAGCCTTGGTTCGAACTTCCAGCAGGACAATGATCCGAAACATACATCAAAATTAACACAAAAATGGTTTACTGATGACAAAATCAAGTTCCTGTCTTGGCCATCCCAGTCCCCTGACTTGAACATCATAGAAACCTGTGAGGTGAACTGAAGAGAAGAGTCCACCAGCGTGGATTAATTTTAGGCATCTTCACACTAAGCAGGATGACACTTTATGGTTCCAATAGAGACTCATTGGTATAATGCATCCCTTGAGGAGAGGATAATTGGCACTGTGCGGTGATTGCCGTGCATGCGCAGAAGCCCTCAATACTATATGGGAAAACATTAAATCGGTTGGGATCATCAGTGATATGAATGATGTTATAATCCCAGCCAGTATGGAGCAGATCAGGAAAGAAGGTGAGTAAAATGGCTTTACTTGACTTTCAAGAGTGGCTAAGAGACTTAAAGGGGAGGACAAATAATCTACTGTACTTGAGTGTTCCTTTAAATCCACATACACATTTGCACATTTAGGTTAAAGATTTTTTTTTTGTTAAAAGAAAACATCATTTTAATTCTATTTCTGTACCTTAAATGAGAAAATGAAATGTTTATTATTCACAAATTGATCAAAATCGATCAACTGGAACAACTTGTGAAAAGAATAACAAACATTTTAATTGTATAGACTCTTAAATATATTGAGTCAGTTTATTAATTGTGTTGGCTTTCCTGAGTTTAGTTTCAACACTGTAACAAACAAAGAAATGTAATGTTGCTAGGTGACCTTATATACTTTTTCATTTTGATTTTTCAGTACTGTTAACACTTATTGAAATGTGTCACAGTTGCCTGGTTTCTCCCAGAATCACATTAGTTCAGGAATATAGGGCTCAGTATGATTATTCACACCCAATGAAAACAAATTAGGTGTTAAAATAGTAAACACTGGAAATAGAGAGGTAGAAGGATAGACATACAGACAGACAAATGCATAACATAATCATTTATTTGTTTATTGTTTCTTTATTGAGTTATTATGTTGATATTTTTTTTAAGTTAAATTAAGAAACTATTTTGTTACTTGCATTGTGGTGTTGTGTTCTATTTTTTGTTTATTATTTTTCCATTTTTTCTTTGTGTTTGTATTTTTTATACTCGATTTTGATTAAAAGGGTTAGGTGTGTCCAATTTATTGTTACTATTGTAATTTATTTTTCCATGAACTTTTATTTTTCAATTGTCACCGTGGTAATTGTAATGTGGTGATCATTATCAGTTGTTATAGATACCACTAACTGTAGATCACGAAAAATATTAACCTTTCAAAGGCCTCAAATTAATAGTTTTGATAAGCTTTCCAAATGATTGCAATCTTAAAAAAAAAAAAAAAAAAAAATTAAT